GCTTCCCCAGATCTTTGGTACTGTGTTTTTTCTCAGTTTCTGTGGATTTTTAAATAACTTTTTTCATCCCATTCCAGCAGCTGTTTTTCTGTCAGTCAGAAGTCTCTCCCCTGCAAGTCTGATCACCATATCCTCCTCTTCCTGTCTCATGGTAGTCATTCCATGCATACTTTCTGAGTATGAAAGTTCAGGATGCCTATGTCTTTTTACTAATTCATTCTTAAAATAGGAAGTCCAGGCTTGCAGTTCTTTATCTGGGATCCAAGTACTCTTCCTTCCTATCCCCCAGTAGCCCTGATTGAGGATTCATATGCAGTTAGCTGACTCTAGTCTTTCCTTATCCTGAAGCTGTGACATTCTCTGCATACCTGGGAGCTCTTATGAGGGAGTCTATAAAAGATGTGGAGGGAACTAGTTTCCTCAGTGGTAAATCTGCACCTTTTTATGGTTCTCTTAAGAACCATGGGATCTTTTCCTTTTTCTCCACCATCACTCTAAACTGCCCCTTCCCCCCACCCCAACTCCTGGGAACTTCTGAATTACAACACTAGAAGCTTCTACAGGGGTGAGAGCTATAGGAAGGAAGATGTGAATAAGAGCAGGACTTCTTGGGGTTGAGTTCCATTGCCATGTCTGACATGAGAAACAGATGAGGGGGAAGGAAGGAACTTCTGTAAATAAGAGAGAATAGCTTTTTCTCTATTTTCTTCCATGTGGGACTCTGACAATGTTGTTCCCTCTGATTATTGAAATCCACTAAACTCTAACCTCTCCTTCGTGTTCCATGTCCACATTCTTGTTTTTCCTTTCAAAGGAACTGAAAAATAATGGCAGGTTTCATACCTTTGCAGACCCTTTGTGCCCAAGGTAGATCCCAGCTTTCTCTTTATTTTTCTTGTCCCTTGCTCTCCCTGCCTTTAGTTTTTTGACTTCTCAGATTACTATTAATAGAGTAGGTTACAGTGGAATATTATATAGTATTTAGGTGTAATTTGTTCTCCAGTACTAGCTCTGCTGGCTCTGAGACTGGGCACCTCATTTCATGACTCTCCATACTGTACCAATAGCAAGTGACCCTATTGTGGAGGCTGCTATGAGGACAGATAATAGATTATATACTCAGCACAGTTTGCTTACTATAGTTTTCATAGTAATCATTCAGTAAGCTCTTAATTTTATTAGGTGATTTATAGGGGAAATATTTCTTTTCCCTGAGTAGGTTCTAGCTAGAGGGTAGAGAGGGAGCTGAGAGGACTCATTTGAACATGGGGGAGGAGGGGACTGCATGTATAGGTGAATTTAGGGCTTCTGAGAGTGGGAAGAGGTGAGAGCCCCAGTTGCTCCTTTACCCCCACCTCACAGGCAGGAAAGCTGACCTTGTGGCCTGGGGCATCGGACTTCTCACTACAGATGAGAAGTTGTAAATGCTACTGCCTGCTGGTTCTTAGCTTGGGGCTCTGCTGCCCAGAAAAGAGGCCAAGGAACAGTATAGGATAGCTAGCTACTTGTGCATTGAGTTGGAGGTTGTTTAGGGATAAAAGTCATCTGGCAATCTCTTCTGGGTGTCCTTTCAACATAGGAAACAATGAGCAGTGAGGGAGAAAACCTATTTTTAGCTCAAGCCAAAAGCTAGGAGTAGGTGTGGATAAGACAATTCCTTGGGAAGATACCGTATGTAGCACGTAGATCACCTCTCAACCTCACTCTTGTAGTTGGCCTGAGGTGGGGTCAGTCTACTGACAGAACTGACAGGGCAGGGAAAATATGGTGGCACACTGATCCCACAATGGCCCTGGCCCCCATCGTGGATCAGGTCAATGTGACAGAAGCTTTCCTCCCCCCCCCCCCAAATGTGAGGCAAGATTCTTTTGTTTTACACAGAAGACATTTTTATGGGGAAATCAAAGACCATTTGAGATGCTTAACCATATTGGTACATTTACAATTTGAATGGCTATGTTGGTTTGGTTTGTGGATTTTGGTGAAACTTAGTTAAGGGAACTCTGGGAGAATGGGACTGACATTAGCTGGATCATCTTAAGAGAACTTTTAGATTCTGTTATGTGGAGGCTGGGAGAGGGTTTTGGTAATCTTTGAGACTGTTTTGGATCAAGTTTTCCTGAGAAGAGTTGTTCTAGGTCCCCTCCCTTTCCCATTGTCTGCCCTTCCTCCCTTGGACTGTATGTTCCCACTCTCATCCCAAATACACTTAGTGTTTTTTTCTTGCTCCAGACCCCCGTGTTCTTATTCTTTGAACAAAAGGGTTTCATCCCCTCTCGGATCCTCATTTGTTCCTGGTCTCCAAGGTATAAATGTAGCGCTTGGTTAGGGAGAAGATTTCATCACTGAATTCTAAACTCTTTGCTTTTATTTATTTATTTTTTTCAGGTTCAAGTGCTGGATTGTGTCATGTGACCATCCCAAAACTCAGAGCACCCTATGGCCATCTTTGCCCTCTGTCACATAACTTGAAAACTGCCTGATGGCCTTTTTGCAATGGTTCCCTCCAGGAAGCCTTGATCTCAGTGAAGAAGTCCTTTCCCGGCATTCCAATGCCCCTGTCACCCCCATACTCCTCAATCACCCTTAACAAACAAAGGCAATCACACACATGGTGTAACAAATACACAAAGTAAATAATAATTACACTACTAATGATCAGAGGGGCACTGGCCAGGTCCACACACATCATAAAGTGGGAGAGGGGTTGCTAGTTCCCACTAGGTTGCTGGACTGTGCACCCAAGCCTCTTTACCCCATGCCTCTTGGGGGTGAGGAGGACAATGGAATGAGACTTTGACTCATAATTTATGTTCAGAAGAAAAAGACCCTCCCCCACCCCGACAAAGGTCTTTATTTGGTGGTGTTAAAGGGGAATATTGTAGGTGTCCCCCAAGTCTAATGCTCCAGCTCTCTAGAACTTGTAGAGAGAAGTCACCTGATGTCTGTTGTCCAACCCCCACCCTGTGCCAAGATCAAGAGACATGAGCATTTGATCTTGGAGGAGGCATCTTCTGTTCTCTGTTCCTCTCCTTCAACCAAGGGAATGTGAATGGTGTTTGTTGATGGTCAGGTGTATCTTGTTCTCCAAGGTTGGGGTAGAAGGAGGGATGGAAGAACAGGGCCAGAGAGGGGCTGGGGGCTAGCATTAGCTGTTACATGGGAGGCAAGTTGAAATGCTTACCAGCCCCTGCCCATTCCTGTACCAAAATACCTCATCCTAGTTTTTCACAATGGGAATGGGAATAAGATACTAAAGCTCACCAACATCACCTTCCCAAGGGTGGTCACATACCTTTTCCCCTTCCACCATCTGGGCCAGACAGGAGAGTCATACTCTTGGGAAGAACAAGCCTTCCAGGTCAGGCTTTAGTACTGTTTGCATCAGACCCATAACTGCAGGCTCTACTTAAGAGTGGCAGTTTTGCTGAAGGTTCCGGACCTCCTCTCTTGACATCCTCTGGGCTCTTGCCCAGAGCCAAGAGGTCTGGTGGTGAGGTATGGGTAGGGTGTGGATCAGGAGATATCTCAACTCCTTGGCTTCAGGCACTGTCCATCTGGGAGGCAGAGGGGAACTTGTACTCTGAAGCCTGTGACTCTTCTAAGCCTCACATCTCTTCACCACTGCTCTGGTGCCCTGGTTATCTGTCCCACAGCGAGAGGTATTTTATGTCCATAAAGTGCCCGTGGTAAGTGCTCAGAATTCATCTCTTGGCTGTGGCGGGTGCTGCTATTTCTCATTCCATCGAGGGGAAGAAACTGAGGCACAGTGAGTCCAGAGGATGGTGGGTCAGGATTGTGGGGGGGATGAATAGGCCTAGCTAGTGACTGGGAGTGGCGACCAGTCCCTGCCTGCTTCCTAGCCTTCCAAACCATGGAGTCTCCATCCTTCCAGTCCTCTGCTCTAACTGGCCTTGTCAGATGCTTTTCCCTTCCCCACTGTATTGTTCCCTCCCTGCTGCCAGGTACTGCTAGATTCCAAAAATAAAAGATAAAAATAATTATAGACACTCTGCTCCCTTGTTCTCCCCCCTTCCACCCTGAGCTTTGGGGTTGGGGGAACTAAAATGTCCCCCCCTCTGGAATCCCTTCCATCTTGGTCTGCTGGCTCTATTCCCTAGCCCAGAGCAGTGATTTGGATTCAAATGCCCTGTAACCTTTAATCTCCTTACTACTCCTTTCTTGACCCCTCCTAACCCTTCCCAGACCTGGGACTCTGGGATCTCTATACTCTTTATTGACCTGAAGATAGAGGCTGGGAGTAGGGGCATTCCACAGGCTCTTTGGTCTCTCTTGGCTGGGGGGAATTCGGGCATATGTGGGCCACACCCTCTGGCTAAATAACTCAGGACTATGAGGGTGGATCTGAGGGTAAGTTTAGTGGCTCTCATAGATCCTGGATGTTGAGGGCTCTCCCCTCCCCTTCCCCCCCACCCCCAGCTCCTAAACCCTAACCTCATACTGTTTCTGTGACTGCTGGAATTTAGTTCAACCCATTTGGCTCAGGAAGGTCAAGTTGGGTAATTATGGGTTGGAAAATTTCATGTATTAGCCCTCTTGCCCTCTGCTCCCATTCCCAACCCTGGAGGCTTTATACAAGTGCTTAAGTAGATGGGTATTGAGGGAGAACAGGGCTTTGGGGAATAAGGGAGAAATGGGGCACAGTGGGCAGGGGCCCTTCTATTTCAGTAAAGCCAAATACCAAAAAATGAAAAGTCACAATAAATAAATAAATAAAATTCCCAAATCCTTACTTTTGCCCCTGCCCTCACTTCCCTTCCCTGGCCACTGTTGGAGGGAGAACGGGAAGAAGCTAAGAATGGATTTTTGATTTCCTCCTAATGAGAATGGTAGTCAGGGGATCTCCCCAAACTATACCAAGCCCCTCACTTTGCCAGTGGAAGAAAGGAGGCTGGGTGTGGGGCTTTCTCTTATTACTCCATTTCAGCCTCTTTCTCATCATTTACCTCTGCCTGATCTCTGTCTCTTCTGCCTCTCTCTCCCTTTGCCTTCTCATTGCTGCTCTTTTTGTTCCTCTGTCTCTATCCCTCTGCTCTACCTCTGTCTCTACGTCTCTCTGTCTTCTTGCCAAACCTTCTCACCTGCAAACCTCAAACACTCCCCACCTGACCATGCCCCCTCTTCCCCCTGTTCCCCAAACCCCTCACCCGTCAGTCCCACCTGCCTCCCTCTGTTGTATTGCACACTGCTTGGGCAGGGAACAAGGTGTGATGTTCATGGAAAGAGGTGGAGGGAGCTCTAGGGTCTGGGGGTTGGGGGGTCAGGGCTGGGGGTCTAGGGGTAGGGTCTATGGGGGAGGCATCCTCTGTCCCCCACCTTAGGAGCAGCCACAGCGATCCACCACCATGCCAGGGATCTTGCCGTAGATAATCTGCTGCTTGTCATTGAAGTAGAGCATGTTGATTGGGGACATCTTGGTGGGAGTACAGCAGGGCCCAGCAGAGCCTCTTGGATTAGCCTGTTGCACCAAGTGGGTGTGCGGATACTTTTGCATGAACATGTACTCGCACTGGCCGGAGCAGTAGTTGGCCTTGTATCGTTTAGGCGCGATGATCCAGTCCCAGCCAAAAGCCTCAAAGTCCACTGTGAGGGGATATCGGCAGCAGCGGGACTCACTCGAGTGCTCATCGCAGTCCAGGCCCAGGTTCCGCCGGGACCGTTTTGTGTTCTCTAGGACCCGAAGCTCCATGAAAGGATGCTGGGGGTGAGGGAGAGGAGAAAGAGATGTGATAAGAGACTCGAAGAGCACCTACTCCCTTTCCTTTCTCATCTGCCCCTGAACAGGGGCATCAGAACAGAGACAGTCGCCTTCTCAGCTTTTCCCCTGCTCCTATTTCCAGCCCTATCTTCTACTCACTTTTCTCACAAGCTAGCTATGTCTCAACAGAGACAGTCGCCTTCTCAGCTTTTCCCCTGCTCCTATTTCCAGCCCTATCTTCTACTCACTTTTCTCACAAGCTAGCTATGTCTCCTTCCACTCACCCCTAATTTTCTCCTGGCAACCTCACCCTGATCGCCCCCTTGGCCCCAGGCTTCATCATCAGACCTTTTTTGTGTTTTCTTGGATCTCCCATTAACACGACCCCAAATCCAGTTTCCACCTGTTGCCTGGCTTGTATCTGAAAAGTGATAGCTGCCACTCCCCACCCTATCTGCACCCCCAAAACTGCTCCTCTAGAATCAGCTCCTGGCCCCAAAGAAATAACGCTGGTGCCCAGCCCCTTCTCATTCCTGGTCTACCTTTTCCAACATCCCACCTCCTCAGGGCCAGGTTATACATATCTGGCACCATCTCAGGCTCCCTGCTCACCAGCCCCTCAGCTCCCGGCCCCAGGGAGGTAACAGCCAGGTCTGTGCCACTGGGATCAAAGGCGTTGATCTCGATGCCCCAGTTGCTCTGTGGCTGTCGGAACCAGCTGTGTAGCACTTGCTTGAAGTCGATGCTCTGCCAGTGGCCTGAGCGTGAGTGCAGCTCAATCTTGAGTGAGCGGATTCGGATGTGACGCCGTCCTCCGCCCCCTCCCCCTGCAGTCCCTTCCCCAGTTAGGGGTTTCAGTCGCAAGATCTGCAGGTAGACTGTGGCTGGGCGGGGCACCGGCCGTAGATACACCCACAGCTGGGCCTTCAGTACCTTTGTGAACATCACCTTGGGGCTGAAGTGGAAATGGCAGCAGAGGGGGCTGCCATCTGTCTGCACCGCAGGGTCCGCTGATAAGAGAGAAGGGGGCACAGCATCAGCAAAGGGTGTTTGTGAAGGGCGTCAGCAGCCCTGGGTGGCACTGGCAACTTGAACGACTCAGCCTGAGTTTTCCAGTTCTTTACCCTTCTCTCGTGTTGTCTTGTTGACTACTGTGTCACTGGTACTCAGAACAGCGCCTCCTCTCTTTCCCTATAGGATGATGTTTCTATCAGGGCTTTCTGATATGCATCCATTCCTTAGTCCATTTGTCCTAATACATAGGCCCAGGTCTATAGATAACCTGCACAGACAGTTATTAGGGATATCCCCTCCCACCTGCAGCCTTCCATTCCCCCAGCATGTAGGGCTCCAAATTTTTCAGAACTTTGATGCTCTTCATAGAAGCCAAACCTCATCACACCTGCTCTTCTTAGGTCGCCTTGCCCCATTTCTGCCCTGTTTTGTGTGGTGGCCAGGTGAAGCCTTGGTATAACCCCCACCCCCAACCAGATGTCTCAAGAGTGGGTAACCAGGGTCCAGATAGGGAGCAGAGGCTAAATGTATTTCATGAGGTAAGCCAGAATCCAGATCTAGGCTTCTTAAACCATTCCTGCCAGAAACAATACACTCAGAAGAATGGATCAACTCAAGTGCTGACTCTTGTATATCTGACTCCCCAGTCCCTTTAATCCTGAGAACAAGTTTCCTCAGCTGTTTCCTCCTCCTTATCACCGTTACTGCCTCAGTTTTTAAGGAAGGGAAAAACTACCTCCATGTTGTTTACGCCCATTGCCCAAAGCTTCAGAAATAATATTCAACACATCAGATCAACTGCAATGTCTTCTTTTCTCCCCTGAGCTTCCTTTGGTTTCTCAGTCCAGTGCCAGTAAGTCTTTACAAAGGTTTAACATCCCAACTTTACATTTTGGCCCATTACATCTTGTTCTAGACCAGAAATTGACCCTTCTTGGGTCAAAAGGCTGATTCTCAGCATCTGCCACTGCTTCCATTTCAGGTCCTCTGGGTTTCCCTTTCTAATCTCTTAAGTCAGTTGGAAATGCCCTAAATCATGTTTCCACTGGACAGGAATATCCATTCTCGCTCTAAATAGACTGAGAGAACAAGAGTCAGGAATGAGCTTCCAGAGCTATGTAAGTATGATCAGGAAGTCCAGCCCTTATGTATCACTCCAGGTCTTGAGTTCTGTGTAATCATGGAGGACTTAGCATCTGTTGTCTCCCATCAGCACTCCCCCACCCCAGGAGAAGGAGGATCCTCCAAGTGAGATGAGGAGGCAAGTGCTCAATGATCTTCATATATTCAGGAATGAGACACACATTTCCTCTGGTAGCTTCCTTTCCCTTGGTTCTTCTCTGAGGTTCCAGGGCACTGGTAGTCCTCCCAGTTATCCACCTGCTGGAGCTGCAATGCTGGCACAATGAGGGAGGATTCAGGGAGTAGAGATTCAGAGATTAGGAGAATTAGGAGAGTAGCTGGGGCAGGGAAACTGCTGGTGAGATGGGGCTATTGTGCCTAATTTCATAGGGTTGTCTTATTTTCCCACCTGTCTTCGTTATTAGCTACTAATCTCCACGAGGGTGGACACTTGTCAATACTCTGTCTGTTTTGCTCACCATTATAGCTTTAGTGTCTCCCATGTTACCAAGCAGTGTTTAGTAAATGCATGCTGAATGAACTCCCTTACCTCCAAATCTTAAAATATACAGGCAAATGCCTAAAAGTTCTTCCTGGCATCTAAACACTGTTCTTAGACTACAAAGTGGGTTCAGTCACTGCTCGACTCCTTATTAACATGTATCTGACCTTTCCCACCCAACAGTCTCAGTGATATAGATGATAATTCTTGTTTCATAGGAGTGCTGAGCATTAAATAAAGAATGAAAATAGTAGTAGCTTCTCAATAAATGCTGGATTATTGTTAATTTTGTAAGCTCTAAGCATACTCCCTTACCTAAGCTGACCTAGGGGATTGGACATTAGGGCCCCATCCCTCTAAGTCTTTGGTTTCTTCAGAGTCCCCCACCCCTACCCCAGGGACTCAGCATACACTTCTCTCCCAGGGAATGTGCAGACAGTTGGTACTACAAGAGGCCAAGATGGATGGAGAATGAAAGGGAAAGGGGAAGAGACAGGATAGAGACTGGAGGTGGTGAGAGAGGTAAGAATAGAGAAGAAGAGAATGAAGGCAGTTGGAAGAGATAGTCAAGAGAACTGGAAGAGAGAAGGAAGGGAGAGAGAAAGGTCATGGTGGGGCGAAAGAAATAAACTTGGGAGTTGAATATTGGGAGAGAAGGGGCAATGTGAAAGGAGTAGACCAGGGATAAAAAGTGAAAGAAGGAAGGTAGCTAAGCCTTGTGGGGTAAAGAGAAAGGATAGAAAGATAGAGAGGAACAAAGAAGAAGAAGGTAGTGCCACAGAGGGAAACAAGAAGCTTGAGAGAGTCCCCAACACACACATATAGGCCCAGCTCCCAAGGGGAGGGGAAGGAGCCACATCTGTGTTGGATTGATCGGGTTGGTGGCAGGCAGCAGGTCAGGTTTAGTAGGCGGTGCTGGTCTGGGGAGAGGTCATTGCACTATTTTCAGCAAAAGCCCAACCCCCTCGCAGCTCACCACCTCCTCCTCTATGGCGCCCCCCCCCAACCCCCTACATACTCTCCATACCCAGGCTGGAAGGCCTAGGGGCAGGAGGTTGGGCTGAGAGGGCAGGGGCCTCTTGGTGTAGGAAAGGAGAGAGAAACTGAGGGGCTGGGCTTGGCTCCCAGAAGGGCAAGGGGGCTGGGTTCCCAGGATGAAGGCTGGGGTGGGAGAGCCTGAGAGGGTGGAGGGAAATAGGGCAGGCACTGCAGCCTAGGAGAGGTGGGGGCTGGGGTCCAGGGCTGAGTGCTGGGGGAGGGGAGGAAGGGGGAGGGGAGCGGAGGCCATCTCTGCTGACAAACACCTCCCCCGATTAGCAGAGCACAAGTCTCTTATTAAAGCGGGTCCCTGGGGATTAGACTATAAAAGTCTCTTTTTCCTTTTCCCCTCTCTCCCTCCCTTCCCCTCCACTCCCCCTCCCTCTCAAAAGAGCTCAGCTTGGCTCTTAAAGGGGACGTACAATACCTGGCTGGAGACCCAGTTCCCTAGTTATCCAAGTCCTGAAGTAGAATGAGGGCGGAAGTTGGGGTAGAACCCCACCTACTGGTGTCCTTCCTGGTCCCCCCCAACCTAACCTGCAATGTCCGATCCATGCACGCAGAGTGTGCTCACTCCCTGCATCCCCATTCTGAGGGCTAACTCTGGGCTCAAGCCACTTGGTTAAGGGATGCTAAGGATAGAAAGAGACAAGGGGAAGTCCATAAATCCATCACCCATTCTGAAACTCCACATACACACCAAACCACACAGACCAGAGTGTGTTTTTCCTCTGTACCCTTCATCTTCTTCCAGCATACTCTTCTTCAGAATTCCTCCACAACTGTTTCATAGAATCCCCACCCCCACCCCCGCACTCAGTCAATTTTAGACTGACCCTAGCTTCTATAAAGCAGAAACCTTAAGAACACAAGGGAGGGGCCCCTGGGTGGCTCAGTGGATTAAAGCCTCTGCCTTTGGCTCAGGTCATGATCCCAGGGTCCTGGGATCGAGCCCCGCATCGGGCTCTCTGCTCAGCGGGGAGCCTGCTTCCTCCTCTCTCTCTCTGCCTGCCTCTCTGCCTACTTGTGATCTCTGTCTGTCAAATAAATAAAATCTTAAAAAAAAAAAAAAAAAAGAACACAAGGGAGACTGAGGAACCTAGACAGATCCCAGGCTTTCACCACCACCACAACCCTGCGCAAGTTTTCTAGTCCTTGGGGTTTTTTCTTTATCAGCCTAGCCAAGTATTGTGGAGTTAGGGTCTGCAGAGAAACTGGTGGCAGTATGAGGCACTCAGCTTCGCAGATGCACACCTGGGTTCCTGTGCCTCTCCCATGGGAGTGGGCCACTAGGAGTCCACCTCAGCCCCCAGCTTTTTATGACCCATGTGCCAATAAACCAGTCCCCCCCTCTTCTGTTCAGAGCCATAAAACTGAACTATGGAGTGGGGGAGCGACTTTGCCACACCACTAGGGAATAAGAGAGGGCCTGGTTCCCTGGAGTTGGAGCAGGGAAGGGGTGAAGGGACCTCAGTGGGGGAGGGGAAAGGGAGTCATCTGACCCTAGGGAGAGCTGGGGGTGGGGTGGGGGGTGTTGGCCTGGATTTTCCAGGCCATAAAATTTCAAAGCAGCTCAAGTCTATTAACATGTTCATCTTCCGTTTGGCCAGGAGCTTGAATGCCTGGGTTCCCCCTCCCTCCTTATCTATTTCTTTTTCTCCCTAGGTCTCCCTCTCTCTCCTCAAGTCCAGTTTTGAGTAGGGGCGGGGGAATAGGGAAAGGAATAAGCTTAGTGTAGCCGAACGGGTGCCCTCAACCCCAGTGCAATGGAGTTGAGTTCTCTGAGCCCGGTCAGTACCAAGAAAGTACAGCTTTCCCAGCCCTGGGAGACCGGGTGTCAGAAGGGCTCTGGTGAAATGGGTGCCAGCTGGGCTGTGAGGAGAGACACTGGGCTCTGGGAGGGACCTCGTTCCTGCTAGAGGGAGAAGAGCACTCAGTTCTCTGCAGCCCGGTGGGCGCGTTGCGGAGCCAGAGGTGGAAGGGGCGGAGAGTTGATGCCAAGGGCACCGGTAGCAGACAGCTCTGCAGCCCGCCTGGGACTGTGGGGGTCCCAAAGCGTCCCGATTCTGTGCTCTAGCCTCTCTTCCATGGCCCTTCAGGACTGAGTTGCTGCCCCTTCCACTCCGCTGCGACTGGGCTCTAGCTTCCCCAGACTCCCCGCAACACGGGTCTTTTTTGAACACCCGGGTGGGAGGAGGTATCTCGGAACCCTCTCACTGTTTGCCGTCCCACCTCGGGAAACGGAGGGTGCACACAACTCCGCGGCCATCTCCAAGCTCGAAAAACTTCTATGGAGCAGCACCCTCTCCCCAATCCGTCAAGTTTTCTCAGAAAAAGCTTCTGGGCCGGAGCAGCCGGGAGCGCCCCGCTTCGGAGCGGGAGGCGCTCACTTTCCCAGAGCCAGCACCCCACTGCTCGCGCCCCGCCGCCCACTTACTCTCCTGGGCCATGCTAATGACAGTCTCGGTGGTGGCGTGGTACTCGTCCTCCTCCAGGAAGTCTTCGGGCTGCAGCGCGTCTCCCTGGAAGTCGTGTAGGTCCAGGATTTGCTGCAGCGGCGGCGCCTTGGGCAGCAGCTGCTTCACCACCTCGCGGCTGATGTTGGGCGCCTCCTTGAGCCGCAGTTTGCTCAGGATCTGCGACTTGATGCTCTCCAGGCGCAGCTCGCGGCTGTGCTGCCGCCACACGCATACGGGGCAACCGTCGGGCTCGGGCGCCACGGACGGGGCCGGCCGGCTCGAGCGCTCCCCCCCCCCCCGCCGCCGCCGCCGCCGCCGCCGCCGCCGCCGCCGCCGCCGCGGGGCCCTCGGCCGCCTCCCCCCGGGGCCGCAGCTCCAGGGCGAGGAGCAGGAAGCCCAGCAGCAGCGGGGCCGCGAGCACCATGCTGGAGGGGAGGGGAGGGAGGACTGGGGGGCGGGGACGCCGGAGTCCCGCAGGGAGGGGGCGGAGGGAGAAGGGAGGGAGGAGGAGGGGGTCCGGGCGGCGCGGGATTGGGGGCTGCCCGGCCGAGGGGGGGCCGGGGGGCCGGGGGCGGCGGGCGCGCGGGCGGGGCGGGCGGGCGGCCGGGGCGGGCGGCTGGGGGGGGCCCGAGCCCGGGCCAGGCCCTTTATAGCCCCGGCCCCCGTGTCGTCAGCGGCCGCGATTGGCTGCGGAGCCAACAAAAGAGGCAGCGCTGTCATCCGAGGCGAGAGAGGGAGCCGGAGAGAGCCGAGGAAAAGAGAGAGAGAGAGAGAGAGAGGGAGAGAGAGAGGGAGCGAGGGCCCAGAGAGAGATGAAGAGGGAGATACCGGGGTGAGGGAGAGGAAAGGAGAGATAGAGAGAGAAAGTAAGAGTCAGAGAGCCCAAGGAGAGACAGAGAGATAAAGGGGCAAGAGACAGATGAGACACAGAGATAGGTAAAGCAGGAGGAAGAGGAGAGAGAGAGAGAGACAAAGGGGGGATAAGAGAGAGTCAGATGAGAGAAGACAGAGGAGAGACTTAGCTGGAGAGAGACAGAGACAGAGAAGGAAAGAGACTGGTATAAACTAGTGGGAGAGTTACAGGGAGAGAATCAGGGACAAAGAGGGGAGAGAGACCAGAGGGAGAAGAGAGGTATGGCTAGACAGGAGAAGGGATGGAGGTCCACAGAGCCTGATCACAAGAGGTCAAGAGTGCAGAGAGATGGGAACAAGGACAGAGAAACTGATGGGACAAAGACCAGAGTCCTGGGAAAGAGAGGGAGAGAAATCAAGAAGAGTAGGCTTGGGAGATGCCAAGGGAGCCCCTGAGGAGGCAGACACAGAGGATCAGGGGAAGGCAGAGATGAAAAGACAGACTTTTGAGGAGAGGAGAGACAGCACAGTGACAGGGTCAGCCTTGGTGGGAGTATGGAGAGCCTGAGGGGGAGAAAGTGGGGAATTTGAGCCCAGAGGAGCCCCAGCTACTGGAGGTAGCCCAAAGAAAATGTTTAAAGAAGCCCTGGAGGGCAGCATCAGGCTGGGCTCATTGGGAGCTCAGAACAGATGGAAGGATGGGACATGGGGGTTAGCAAGGAATACAAGGAGAGAAGGAGGCCAGAGATAATCGGAGCAGGTGGGGAAGTGGTGGGAAGCCCTGAGACAAGAGCAAGTCTTAGAGCTGGGAAGAGCGTGATCTGAAATTGAGGGATAAGGGAGCCAGTAGGCTGGAAAAGGAGAAAAAGCAGGAACAAGGGACCACTGGGGTCCACTGAGCGGGGGTGGGGGGGGGTGGGGGGGGGGGGGGGGGGGGAGAGGAAGCAGGCTGGAAACCACTATGCTTGCGGACCTCTGAATTCCTAGTTATACTTTTGCATCTGCAGGGTCTTAGAAGTCTGAGAAGGCTCTTGTAATTGTAGGGGTGAAAATGAGAGAGAGGTCTTCCCTCAGATGCCTGAGTTGCAGACAGCAAGTTACAAAGGGAGAAACCTAGTTGTGGGACCAGCCCTAGTTTCCAGGTGTGACCCTGGGTACAGCCAAAGGGCAGAGTGGAAGAGTGTTAAAATGCTCCCCAGGTACTTGACTTCTGGTTCTGGAGTCCTCTTCCCAGTCCTCAGTTTCTCTAGGCTGATTTCTTGAGTCCAAAGCCCTGGAGATCAATAGACAACCAATAGATTGAACATGTTTGGGGGTGTGTGCCTGGGTGGCTCAGTCGATTGGGTGTCTGCCTTTGGCTTGGGTCCTGGGATGCTGGGATTGGGGGGAGGGCATGGTTCTCTGCTCAGCAGGGAGCCTGCTTCTCCCTCTGCTGGCTGCTCCCCCTGCTTGTGCTGCTTCTCTCTCTTTCTGTCAAATAAATAAATAAAATCTTAAAAGAAGGAAGGAAGGTAGGAAGGAAAGAAAGAAAGAGAGAAAGAAAAGAAAGAAAGAAGAAAGAATATTTGAGGGGATTAGGTTTTGCTTGTTTCCTGGTATACACGATGTTTATTGAGTAAAGAGATGAATGTTATTGGGCTTCTCAGGCAAAATAAAGAGATGCCAGTTTCGTCTCTGGATTAGAGCCCAAGAGAATGTCTTAAAACGGGCTTGATGGAACATCAGGCATAAGGACAAAGTTGGGGGGTGCCTGGGAGGCTCAGTGGGTTAAGCCTCTGCCTTGGGCTCAGGTCATGGTCTCAGGGTCCTGGGATCGAGCCCCGCATTGGGCTCTCTGCTCAGTGGGGGGCCTGCTTCCCCCTCTCTGCCTGCCTCTCTGCCTACTTGTGATCTCTCTCTCTCTCTGTCAAATAAATAAATAAAATCTTAAAAAAAAAAAAAGGACAAAGTTTGGTTGGGAAGCTGGAGTGAAATGAGGAAAGAAACTGGAGGTTTGGGTATGAGGAAGGAAGGTTGGGTAGGGATCAGGAAGACCAAGCTGGGGAGCTTTGAAGAGATGAACATCTCTGTGGAGTACAGGAACTAAGACCACAGCACAATGCAATAAATTTAGACAGCGGGTTCTCTCCCTTGCTTTGGACCAAGACATGGGTCTTTCAACATTTCATCACCTTTCTTCGTCTATAAAATGAGCATCACATTGTCCCCCTCAACTAGTTGTGAGGATTACATAATAATCAATCAATAGTGGCCTTCATGGGATCTTTCTTTCTTTTTATTTTTTTTTAAGATTTTTATTTATTTATTTGACAGACAGAGATCACAAGTAGGCAGAGAGGCAGATGGGGGGTGCTGGGGGAGGCAGGCTCCCCACTGAGCAGAGAGCCTGATGCGGGGCTCCATCCCAGAACCCCAGGATCCTGACCTGAGCCGAAGGCAGAGGCTTTAACTCACTGAGCCACCCAAGTGCCCCCGTGGGCTCTTTCTTATGATTCTTTTCTTTCCTTTCTGATTTCTTAGAGTAGCAACTGCCTTTACCACATATGCTGGCATAGCCTGTTCTCCAAAACATTTCTCTGATGTCATTTCCTCAGCAAAATTGCAAACTCCTTGAGAGCAGAGGTGGTGTCACCTCCTTCAACTTCCATGGAGTCAGTGGCTCAGCCTTCACTTCCTCACCAAGTGTGTGTCTAATGGTAGGTCTATGATAGATGCAAAGACAAATTTTCTCAGGAAACATTTAGACTGGACAGAACACTAGATAAACAGTGTACAAGCCCAAACTCCAAGCCAGGGGCTCCTGGGTGGTTCAGTTGTTAAGTGTCCACCTTAGGCTCTGGTTATGAACCCAGGGTCCTGGGATTGAGCCCTGAATGGGGCTCTCTGCTTAGCAGGAAGCCTGCTTCTCCCTCTCCCACTCCTGCTTGTGTTCCCTTGCTGTGTCTCTGTCAACTAAATAAATAAAATCTTAAAAAACAAAACAAAACAAACAAACAAAGCCAACAAACTCCATGCCAGATAGATGCCTCTTTGATGTCCATCTGGATGTCCCAAGGCACCTCAAACATCATGGGTTAAATATGATAATCTGAGAACTCCTTCTCTCCCCCGAACATGTACCCCATCTTGCTGAGGCACATTTTCATTTACTGAATGACAATCATCCCAGACCAGAAACCTAGAGGTAGACTTCATCTTCTTTCTCTTGATCATCTCTGAATCTTCGCATAAGCTTTCTCTTCCTAGAACAACACCCCTTCCTACCTCCATTGCCCCCATTCCCCAGTATCTTGGCCAAATTTGTTCTTTCTTCAGGTTTCAGTATAGACGAGATTTTGGACATGTGTCTTCCAGGAATCCGTTGCTGACTCCCAAGCCCAGAGTAGATCTTCTTCCTAGCTACATCTGCACCATTCTGTGTGGTATGGAAGTTACTCTAGCTTCTAGACCAGGACAAGGCTGTCTGGGTTCAAGGTCCAGCCCTCCCACATTTCTGGCAGTGCGAACTTGGCTCTGTATGCCTTGAAGGGGATAACAATATAGTACCTAGTACCTTTTTCATAAGGTTATGAGGATTAACTGTCCGATATGCAATTCCTTTTTTTACTGACATGCAACCCTAAATGAGTTAGTCATTACTATTACCCCCCTTATCACCCTTACACTGTGAGTGGGACCCAAGAGAGCAGGAAATTTTTCCACCTAAGTGTTCCTTAGCTCCTTTGAATGAAGAATGAATGAATCCTGTTAACTGGATTTGGTCAGAGCCGGGTTGGGGAGAGAAAACTGGGTATTTATGGTCATGAAGAGTTATGGGTGTCTGCCAAATGCCAGAGAGCAAGAGTCAGGAACAACTTGTGAGACAGAGGATTTCCACCTCCCCGCTTCGTCCCCACTAGTTCCAGGACTGGACTTAATCCATTGAGTGGGCAAGACTGCCATCTGGTGGTAGAATCCGGAATTTTAGCTTCTTGGAGGTGGGACTAAAACTGGTTTTGCATACTTCTTTAGATTTCTACTCCAAGAAGTTCTATATCAAAATGCATTAAGCCTTGTTCCTCTCTCCATCCCCTCCTACATCTTGCTTCTTTCCTTAGTTCCCTCAGGTTTGGTTACTGTTGGGTTTCCCTGAGTTGCTGGAACTAATCCCTGGGAGGTCTCTTTCGGGAGCTGCAGACTTCCAGCTGCCCTAGACCCAGTTCCCAAGGGGGTGCCCTGCAGGCTTCATAGAAAGGAGCTGGGAGAGATCTGGACCTTTAGATCTTTTCTCATCCCAGTACAGGCTAACTGGGGTTTAGGGCCCCGCCCACTGTGCTGGTCTCCCGGGCAACTGTCTTCCGCCGGGGTGCCCCCCCCCCCGGCGTTACCCAGGCAACCTTCAAGGCCCGCCTCCTTCAAGGTCCTGACGGGTTCATAGCAAATGTGGGTCTGGACCTAAGGGAAGGCGTTAGGGTTGGAAGACCTCGAGTCGCCAGGAGAGAAGCAGGAGGTGTCCCAGGGAGAGGGAATGAGGTTTCAGGAGCTACTGGAAGGAAGAGAGGCTTGTGTAGCCTCGGGTAGAGGGTCAGTTCC